ATGAAAATGGAACATGTCATTTGTATTTAAAATCTCTAAAATATTTAATGAAATAAAAGATGAGGAGATTTATTGAAAATACAGAACAGCATTCTCAGACAAAGTGGTTTGGTAGCTGCACTTATGAATTTAAATAGCTCCGAAATGCACTTACCAGTCATCAGAACTTTTGTCTTCATACATAATGTTCTTACACATTATTGAAAGTTATTAATATGTTTTTACAGTCTGTGGCCCAATAAAACAGATGTGTATATGTAGTATCTAGATTACTGTTACAACATACCATGAATATTTCAATAAAGTTCCTAAATTTTAGGCTCAAGGTTTCAGGTATCATTTCTTTTAGTATTTTAAATCTTAAAAAACAAAACCATGAACCCTAGTAAGACATACATGAAAATCATACTACCAGAAACAGGATTAATCATTGGTTTATTATACATACTTATATATTTACCAATAGTGGCAACTTTAAAGTTCTTGCTTTATATATCTTGCTTTATTTCCTTTTTTTTCACCCTTTTTCAGTTCAATCATACATAATTTTCTGTTGCACATGTTGTTTAAGTTAGCAATAATCTATTTACAACTTTTGTTTTACAACTCACATAACAAATTAAACATTACACAACACATAATTAAAATAACAATGGAATCTTCGTATGAATAAATTTTGATACAGGAAACTTTCTCACTGTCCCATCAATCAGCATACAATGATGTACCTTGCCTGTCATCTGGTCATCAAATACTAAACTGGTTCTCACTGTTGCACTACTGCACCCAGTGTTTTGTAGTACCTCCACTTTCTTTTCCACAACATAGCCTTCACCTACTAGGATATTGTGATTTATTGGCATCTCTCAATGTTTTTCACAGGCTTCAATCACTATTGGCACTGTTGATCCAGTTGTTAACTTCTGCTGGCCATCAATCAAGCACTGTTTAATCATGGCAATAACACTTTCTTCTTATGGTGAATCTGATGGGTTGTCTCTATTCTGTTTCTTCTCGCAGCAGGACTCATGGTGATAGTCATTCTTTTCTTGTTTCTTGTTAGCACCATATTTGTAGGTAGCTCCAACTGCTTTATGTTAAGATTTCTGCTGTTGGTTATTTATGACAGACTTGCACTTTCTCGCAATGTGCCTCATTTTTTAACAGTAATAGCATATTTTCTCCCTTCTGTCTGTTGACTTCTTGTCACCTATGATGGTATCCTGTTTCTGGTCAGCCACCCCTGGTTTCTGTTTTAGCTGGTTATTCTTAAACTTGCCAGTTATACTCCCTCCATGGGCTTTCATATACTGTTCTGCCAGCTTGATCACCTCATCTTCATCTTTTGGTGCTCTCTCCTTTAGGAATAGTGATATGTCATTTGAGCATGAATTGTTCACAAATTAGTAGATCTGCCAGTCCCTCGAAACTACTTTCGCACTTGGCCATGTCAATCCATCTTGTGAAGTATCACGGTAGACATGCTACAAGGTGAAATACAGTTTCTTCAGTGTCAAGTTTGACTTCTCTGAACTTCTGACGAAATCCTTCTTTAGTAAGTTCATAGCATTTCAGCAAGGCCACTTTTAACTTGCTATAGACCATGGAATCTTCTGACATCATGCCTGCATATACCTGTAGGTATTTTCCTGGGAGAAGTGGGACTGCCCAGTCACCTCTGTTCCAGTTCTGACTTTGGACAAATCTTTCCAGGAAAGCATCCATGTCATCTTTCTGTTCATCAAATTTGGGCAGCTTAGGTCGGCTGGCTCTGACCACATTGTCATTCTTGGGTGCTTCTTTTTGTTGGGTAAGCTTAGCAATCTCAATTTGTGTTCTTATTCTATTTCCAGTCTCTCCTTTTCTTTTTCAATTTGTATTCTTATTCTCTCTTTTTTCACTCTCTCATTTTTCTTTTAGTCTTTCTCTTTCCTTTCTTCTTTCTTCCTCTACCCATGTTCTTCTCTCTCTAGGTCTTGTTGTTGTTTAACAAACTCATAGTTCACCATCTTTGAGCCCAATATGCTTGCCTCTTTTGATCCACTTATCAAACATCAGTCGACATGGTTATATAGTGTGAATGTAATCTTCTATATTTTTGCCACCACCACAATTGTGCCATTTATCGCTGTATAATCCTGGCTGACTCACCAAGTGTCAGGTTTTTATATGGGCCACCATTCTTTACAGGAGGTGTCTGTGACTTGTTGCCAATAAATTTCAATGCTAAACAAACAGCAAACAGTCCACTTGTTTCAAAATACAATATTCAAGTCAAACATTATTTTTAGACTGTAGGTTATCACAGTTGAATCTAGAGATTTAAAAAATTCTTTTTTTCGTCAAAAGTCTACACAGGCTGGTTCAGTTACTTTAGAACCAATTGACAAGAAGAATTATTTATTTTATCCTTTTTTATCACAGTACAATCGGTGATAAATTCACTTATGTTATCCCGTGAGTTACCACAGTTGTATCTAGAGTTTTAAATAATTATTTTTTTTGTTAAACATCCACATAAGCGGGATCAGTTAGTTTAGAACACCCTTTGACAAGACAAATTGTTTCTTTTCTCCTTTTTATCACAATACAATAGTGACAAACTCACTTATATTACCCGATGGGTTATCACAGCTGTATCCAGATCTTTAAATAATTGTATCCTTTTTGTAAAAGTCCACACAGGCGGGTTAAATTACTTTAGAACTCCCTTTGACAAGACAAATTATAAATTGTTAAACATCCACATAGGTGGGATCAGTTAGTTTAGAACTCCCTTTGACAAGACAAATTATAAATTGTTAAACATCCACATAGGTGGGATCAGTTAGTTTAGAACTCCCTTTGACAAGACAAATTATAAATTGTTAAACATCCACATAGGTGGGATCAGTTAGTTTAGAACTCCCTTTGACAAGACAAATTATATATTCTTCTTCTCTATCTCTATTTACAATGCAAACTGTAATACTTTCACTTTAGAAATCGCCAGTTACACCTGAACTGACAATCAGTCTGACTTCACTTTCACTAACTCTACTTTCTTAACTTCCTCTCTGTATCTGCACGTATTTATAACATGCAACAGAAAAATCTAGCCCTCTAATAACAACAATATTGAACATAACGAGAAAACTTAGAAGCTTCAAGTAAGATGACGTCAACAGTATTACAAAAGCCTAGTACAACAATTAAACCATATACACAACGTACGACTCATACAGATTTACCTTACAAAACTTGTCATAACTATCACTTTTAAAATAATTAACTTTTAATACACTTGGTATGAAATAATATCAATAATATGAAGTAATAACTCTTAAACTGAACAGTCTTGTATATTCAACACGGAGTATCCGCTTTTCAAATTATTATTAAGAACTAGTAGTAATTAAAAAATCATAATTCTGGTGTAGATGATGTTATCATTACCCCTAGAAGATAGCTTTCTGACAGAAATAATAGATAAACAATACATATTACATTTCGAACCTCATTGTATTTAGAACTTGGTCATAAATACAACCTTCCTATATCTATTAAACACTGCATAAGAAAAATGCAAAAAAAGGTAAAGAAAAACTTCTCAAAAAAGGAAGTAAATGTAGGGATAGCATTTGCATCATCCCTACATAATAGCACAGGCAAGAATTAACCTTTAGCAATACTTATAACTATTCAATCACAATTAAGGTTAATTTATCCTATTTTTGTCTGTTAACATTCTACTATATTGTGTGCCTATGCTATTATGTAGAGATAATACAAATATCATCCCTACTCTCTGGTTTGCATTGTTTTTGAAGGATTTATATTAGCCATCCCTACACTTACTTACTTTTTTGAAAAGTTTTATTTTCTTCTTTTAAATTAGCTATTAGCAAGTGGATGCATAACCTTAAGTTCTAAATACCTATTAGACTAGAAATTCAGAGACTAATGGTATGCCTAACTTACTTAGCTATACTGATTATCAGAGTGATTTTTAGTTTCTAAGTTCACAGGTTACTATGATCGGAAGTTAATATAAGTAACAATTAAACTTTCTTAAAGAATATTTTTGATAATCAATCGATTAACTAGATGGATCCGATAACTCTCAATACAAACACTGAACTGAATCACCAATTAAATACTCTACTGATATCTTAATCTTCACATAATGATTATTCATTGTGTCTTTTACATCAAAAGTCCACACTGGCTGGTTCAGTTACTTTAGAACCCAATTGATAAGACGAATTATTCTTCCCTACTCAGTTATTACAATACAATCTATGATATTACATTTTAAAAGTTGCCATTATAGACTCTTTATGGCTAAACTCCAGATCATCCAGTCTATATTCAGGTAATGCCAGTCTAGAACACACACATCCAGAAAACTTAACCATGGTACTTGTCATGTTTGCAAAATTTCACAATTTTAGAACACTTTATTAGTATAAATGTTTAATTATGTTTGTTATGAGACATTATGTTAGGCCTATTATATTTTTTTAACAGTACATACTTTACATAGTTTCTTGAAATTCAAGGGCCCAGATTAAGAATGTCATGTTCAAAAATATAAATGGCCTAACATAATGTCTTATGACAAATACAATAAATTATAATCATGTTTCACTATCTGGTAAAAGGCATTTACGCCGCTACAGTCGTTGCTATAAATATTTGTACTTAAGCACAAAGCTACACAATGAGCTATCTGTTCTCTGCCCACCACAGGTCTCGAAACCCCATTGTTAACGTTAGTATAAATATAAACAAGAATCTATACAGTGAATCGATAATGTTCAATTCAGCTAAATAATAACTACACTGTAGTTAACTTTATAGATTTTTACTAAGCAATAATTAAAAAAAACTTTCTAGGCAATTTCAGATAACTACTTTTGTGTAATTAACATATCCCTACATTTTGTGTGTGTGTGTGTGCTTGTATGGATTCATTGTAAAACACAAATAATTGAAAATACAATATATAGACATTACACTTAGTTGTGAATAATTTCATTTATTATAATAGCTTCTGTTGTACTTTCATAAGTAAATTACTCTCACAGTACACTTGGCAACAAAATGTTTAGTCAACAAAAGCATCTAATTGCTTTGCAAAGAAAAAAAACAGAAAAATAAAATATGATAAATAAATATTTCCTTTAAGGAACACTCAGCTCAAACTGTACATTAATACAATAAGCAACAATATAAGTTTCAATCTGGCTCTATTCACACTGCTACGTATGAGATACTGTAACAGTCAGGTTTCTTTTACCCAACAATATATACAAACAACCAATTTCATTTTAAAAATTTCTTACTCAGTTCACCAAAAAATATTGTTCTCCAATTAACATTTTCTTCAATGACAAAAACAAAACTGACTTGTACTTTGGCCTTCTAAGGGAATTTCACAAAAACAAAATTAAGGACTGTCCAGTTACTAAGATTGATAAAACACAATGTTACCTTCTGATAATGCTTAAATAAACAAAAGATATGGATGTATCATAAAAAACCTCAAACATTATATTTATTTGTAATTAAGACAATAACATTAACCACAAACATCACTATCGTTAGTAAGCAAGCCAGTAATATAAACCACAAACATCACTATCGTTAGTAAGCAAGCCAGTAACATAAACCACAAACATCACTATCGTTAGTAAGCAAGCCAGTAACATAAACCACAAACATCACTATCTTTAGTAAGTAAGACAGTAACATAAACCACAAACATCACTATCATTAGTAAGCAAGCCAGTAACATAAACCGCAAACATCACTATTGTTAGTAAGCAAGCCAGTACCACAAACATCACTAACTTTAGTAAGCAAGACAGTAACATAAACCACAAACATCACTATCGTTGGTAAGCAAGACAGTAACATAAACCACAAACATCACTATCTTTAGTAAGTAAGCCAGTAACATAAACCACAAACATCACTATCGTTAGTAAGTAAGACAGTAACATAAACCACAAACATCACTATCGTTAGTAAGCAAGCCAGTAACATAAACCACAAACATCATTATCATCAGTAAGACAGTATCATAATCTGCAAATATCACTATTGTCAGTAAGACAGTATCATAGTTCACAAATGACACTGTCATCAGTAAGCCAGACAGTACCATAATATACTAACATCAATACCATTAGTGAGAAGACAAAATAAACTTCACTATAATCAGTAAATAAAACAGTTTAACGTAAATATAAAAAAACAACTATCACTGGTGGTCGGAAACTGGCTACAGAAAACTTGTACCAATATTTTCAGTTCATATCAGATGGCACACAAGCGTGAAGCAAGCACCATATATATACACTAGTTTTGAAAGAAAATAGTATGCATAGGCTTTGTTAAATGCATTAAAAGTATAAGATTAAAAACGTATAACTGGAAAACTAACTGTCTGAATGTGTAAGAAATATATCCTAACATGCAGAAATCCAATGATACCGGAAAGCTGGTATTAATAGTAGGTAAAATCTGTCAAAAAATAATTCAGTACAGTTAGAAATTAATACAGAACAATTATACAAATGCCTCATATTTAAGAGACAATTAAAAAATAAAAGAGATTTATGGGAAAAGTTAATATAAAATAAAAATATACGTAACTTTATAAAAATACTGCATCAAAATCACAGAAATTTGATGAGATTATGAGCTGATACAAAAGAAAGATGGGGTTTTCAATAAAGTATTTAAAAATTCTCATAATTCACCTAAAACAAGACTTAACTAGATCAGAAGTTTAGCCATTACAAAAGATGAGATATAATCTTCTCACACAGAATGAAAATACTTTAATTAATAATTTTACCAGGCCTAAAGTTATTATGCAAAGAAATTTGAATATTTTTACTTCTTTCACATGTTCCTTCACTTTTAACAAAATTCAACCAGCCCTTTCATAGTTGGTAAGATATTCAGCACATCAAAGGATAAAATCTCAAATACAAAATTTTCTATCAACTGTAAGACATACAGATAAAAATCAAACAATCTAAACACTTCACTAAAGTTAATTATCTAATAAAAAGCCACAATAACTGTGTTAAGTAAAACGAATATTTTACATTAAAAATATTTAGTACAATTCTGGATTATTATATTAACATGTTAAAAACACTGAAATATTTCATAGGAGTGTTCTTATACAAACAAAAACAGCCATCTGTACAATGTCAGAAATTAATTTCTGATAAATATATTGTTAAAATCAAAAGTACTTATAATGTTTTAACACTAGGGAAAGTCTGTTTCGTTTACATATAACATATAATACAATGACAATTTCCATCAGTTCACCTGAAGACCCACTTTTTTATGTGGTTAAAAAGGTCTAGTGTCATGATGACTAAAACAGATTGCATATCTACATTAGATGTTTGTCAAATTATACCTAGGTTAAATCAAGTAAAAATATATAATTACAAAAGAGGAAAGATATACAAGACAGACTGGTTAGTTATAATGGAAATCATAACCTCATTTTTTCTATATAAAAACCTATAAAATACCAAGATAACCACATACTTTCAATATTTTATAATACTAAGATTCACATGCTACAGGGAGAACTGAATACCATAATCATAAGTTTCACATGTTATGGAAAACTGAGTATCATATACATAAGATTCACATGCCACAGGGAGAACTGAGTAACATACTCGTAAGATTCACATGTCATGGAAAACTGAGTACCATTTACATAAGATTCACATGCCACAGGGAGAACTGAGTAACATACTTGTAAGATTCACATGTCATGGAAAACTGAGTACCATTTACATAAGATTCACATGCCACAGGGAGAACTGAGTAACATACTCGTAAGATTCACATCTCACAAGGAAAATTGAATACGATATTCATAAGTTTTACAGTCTGCATGATGTTGTATATTTAGCAATTCAATCTAATATAATTAACAAAATCCAGTCTCTTTCTAAATATACCTGTTACATCTTTCATAGGAAAAACTAAGTATATTCTTGGAAACATTGGCACATAGACTTGCCGAGATTTGAGCTAAAACATCAGCAGTAAACTTAACTTTCTTCTCTATCATGCTCATTTAAAATATCATGCTTTTTTTTGTTTCTGGTGGTTTATGTCTGATCTAATAATTTTGAACATTTTAATCTATTCAATATTTTGTAAAGTCAAAAACAAAATCTAGAAGTTTTGAAAGTAAACTTCTAACTCACATGAATGTGTTTATTATCAATATACAAAAAAATAACCTAATGCATGTTTACTAAATATTATTCTTACTTCATTTTTGGAATTTCAGATTGGTAGACAGAAATACGCTGACTTAAAACAATAAGATTTCTTGACTTATTGAACCTTGTATACCCAATAAAACACCCAAACAATAAAGTACCCATAAAATAAACTTTAAGTATTGTATAAATTTTGCATTTCTCTTAAAAAAAAAAAAAAGGTTCAGTTCTTAAAACTTGATGCACAACCAAAAGAACAAGTTACCTGTAAGAAAAATAAATAATGGAGAAGTCACGCTTTTAACATGTTCTTTTTGGTCTGACTTTCTCCAATTATTATAACTAATAAATTTTGATTACAAGTCATTTGATTTATTTAGTACCAGTGATTTTATGCCAACCATGTAAGTTACATAGTTCAATGTTGGCACAATGTTAAGCTTTATATACTTTTGTTTCATGGTAGGTCACAGGAGATTATCATGGAGAACTGAAGTACTTCTATTGTCTTCAACACTAAGGTCAAATCAGCTATTACATAATGTTAAATTTCTCTTTAATTAAAATCATACACATTTAAACTGTATAATAACCAAATACATATAATGTTTTCAAAGCCAATCCCAAACAAACATACACTGTGACTCATTGTCTATGAGTGTAGGGTAAAATGTTTGTACCTTCTAGTGTACATTATAAATCTTAACTTCTTTGAGCTGGTAAAGAATTGAAATAATGAAACATTTAAAAGGAGATCAATGTCATGATGAATAACCATCAAACCTGACTTTACATAATTTATAATGTCACTAATATTAATCTTAAAAAAAAAAATTCAGGAATAAAATGTGAACCAAAAAATACAAAGATTTAAAACAATAATATTTTTTTGTTATTCATTGCTGTGATTGCATCAATAGCTTAAATATTACAAAATGTACTTCAAAGCATATTGTAGCTTGAGTCTGATTAGTTTCTTCTTTTAAAAGGTTCTTAAAGAAAGAAATTAAACTCACTCTAAAAAAATTATATTGTAAAAGTTATATATTCAGGTTTATTGAAAGTTACTGTTAACTATTAAAGATATATATGTGTACCTAGTTAAAAGTACTAAATGAAAGAATGAGAACAGAGTTTCTGAAACAAACTCTAAAGAAACAATTTCATTAGTAGTTCTGACTTCACTTAGTAAATAAATTTCTTGCAAACGTTATTATATTTATATAATTACTGTCCATCTCTGTCATTCTGCCACCTGAAACAAGAAACATTCACTAAATGTTAATCGCGGGCTGTTTGAGTTACTTTAATTACACATGGTAGAGCTTCTGCCACAGAATATCAGTTGAAACATCTAATGGTGTGGATTTCATAAAAAAGGGCCGAATTACAACTAATGAACAGCATAAGTCTATTATATAAGTCAAGAAAGTTAATGTATTATTACACTAAATATGATGAAGAGATGTTCACAGTTTTAAAACTTACACAGATACAAATATGATGACAAAAAGCACAACCTCAATTGCTCTGAGCTATAGCTGACAGCTGTATCAAATAATCTATTTCTAGGCCTAGTTTATTATCTTGGAAGTGAATACTGTAGGCTTTCCTATTAATGTATTTGAAATTTTTAAATCTCTTACGGTACGTAGCAATAAAATTCATGGCTGAAAAGAGAGAGTAAAGATAAAACTGATGGAAGAAAAGATTAGGGATAAGAGTATCTCTACATATATTTTATTGTGATCTAATCAACGAATTATACCAAAGGTTAGATATGAACAATACAGACACAGTTTCCAGTTTTCACTCACATCTTATCTTATTAATTATGTTATGAGAATAAAACCTAACAAAGGGAAAATATTTAATTAATGCACAACACTATTCCATGTTATCCTAAATATTTGAAACAAGTAAATAGTACCAGTCAAAGCTAAAACTTAATGTTTTTCAATTCTGTTCAGTAGTATATACATAAATTTGGAGGGGAGAATCTCCAGAACAGAGTGAGACATGTGAAGGGGGGAGGGGCAGTTTCAAAACTTTTAGAAAAATATCATCCATCAAATATTGTTCATTGAACAATACATTATCTGCCAGTATATTCTGGTATCTATCATATCTCAGGCTTTTACTGTAACAACTCTAAGTATTGCATCTGATGAGTGAAATAAGATACTTTTGTAACATATTTGCAATGATGTTATGAGCAGTTTCATTTTTATACACAGTTTAAGAGATTTAATCATTTGTTAATTAATGCCTTACATGACACTAATCAATTTTTGGAACATTATTAGCTTTACACAGCTGGACTAGTTCAATTATTAGTATTTGAAAATTTACAGAATTGTATAGATAGTTTTCACAAGTTAGGTACAAGTATCAGTCAGCAGTTCTACCCACATAAAATGGTTATTTTTGAATTAGTTGCCTGTATAACTAGAGATCATGAAAGTGGTACTAGTGTAAGCTCATTCAAATGTTCTCACCTTTAACTAATCATACACCAGAGAAATCTGAGTCCTATAAAAGTTACAGATTGGAAAAGAGTTCTTTCTTAATTTTATATCTCATTTATAACCACACATAATACATATTTTTAAGTTACACTTCCATTCAGTTGCTAAACATCATGTCCTCGGCACTTTTCTCCCGGATGTCAGATAACTCCTTCCATGTAGCTAGTGTCAAGATTCTGAATCAATGTCCTTACAAAAGCCATCTCTTTCCTTGTGTTCTCAAAAATGACCCTTGGATCATCAGACATGAACCGTAAGCAGTTTGGAGCCATGACCATTGCTAAGTTACTGGCATCCATTTTAGTTACAGCAGCATTCTGTTCAGCTGCAAATACCTAAGCAAAAAAAATTCAAACAATTTTCACCTTAATATTAGAAACAGGCAATTACCTATGGTTAATGGATGAGAAACATGAGACATGATGCAAGAATTTTGTCTACAGTGAGACTGAACTCTCTATGTTCATATAAAACTTTTAAAACAAGACAAAAATATATGAAATTATAAATTACATGTGTGAACAAAAAGATCCAGAACCCAAACTTTATTACTACCACCTTAGTTCACCGAGGTTTGATTTTCTACTTTTTCACATTAAACCTAATCTAATGAGTTTCCTAGCTTCTTTCCAATGCTTATAGATGAAAAAAAAAAAAGTAAATTGGCTTTATTTTCACTTGGCTAAACCTAATTAAGCAACTTTAGGTTTCCCTTAAGAAGAATGAGTTTAAACTTTTAAGGGAGATAGTTTGGCTAAACTTTGCTGATTTGATTCTATATTTACAATTGTGATACTCTCCCTAAATGTTGACATCATTTTATCCTAAAATTGTACACAAGATATTGAAAGTAACAGATTTTACTTTATTGCAACAATCTGAATAAAGCAATCAAGCATTATTATGTCTATTTTCCTATGACCATAAAAGTGTTTTTTTTTAGTAAAGCAGATGGTTACAAAGTTTAAGTTGACCCATAAAAAAAATAATTCTCAGAGAACTTCTCTTTGTCATCAGTTGAACACTCCTAATCGTGGCAAGATCTACCCATAAAATCCAAGGTAAGCAGTTATTCAGACTCAGTTTAATTTCAGATCTGTAAAATTTTTTTAAGTTATTGATAAAAAAAAAAGTTAGAATTTTATGAATTTGATAGCAGTAGCTTTACACTCAATTCCATGGTAAAAATGAAAAGTAAAATCTCATGATTTTGATTTTAAGATTAAAAATACTTTTCTTCATCTGAAATTTGTAAAATTTCATAAATAAATATCAAAAGGTTTTACTTCAGAAAAAAATTTATATTTTATCTGATATCTTCTCTACCCTTACTATAAAGGGTCAGTCGATTTGACTGAACTGTAACTATAATAAAAAATTAGGAAATAAAGCTAAATTACCATTTTTTCTTTCTAAAATGACTGCAAATTGTAACAGGAAAACACAATTGTTTATTCTAAGTAGCTTAAAGCTCTTAACAGTATACATCTACTTATATTTATTATTTTTTTTAGTTTTATTGATTTTTGAACTATGTATAACTAACAATCCCACCACACAAGTTGCAAGTTACCTGGCACATGTGCAGTTCATGTTACCAAATTTAATATAATAAAACTGGCCTTTAAAAAAGTACAAATGTCTTACTCTTCTTAGTCTTAGTACTAACATACGAGTATTTTGTAAAACACAATGACATTTCAGTTACCATATATTACATATGCACATATTACTATTTACAAATAAATTCTTGAATTTCTGTTATTTTTCTTAGAACATAGAACAAGAAATAAAAAATATATAGAAACACAATGATCTTGACTACTTATGATGTTACAAAGTTCTTTTGTACTTGCTAAGCCTAATCAAATTTCACACATGGAGAAGGTCGAAAAATTAATTTTTGTTTTTGCAGCTTTTATATATCTATTTTGGAATACCCCAAAAATTATAAATTACTAAAATGATACCATAAAAATTCAATGTAATTTATTGGGCTTCCTATCTAAGCCTGTATATGGGTCTAAAAAATCTCATTTCTGATCAGAATATCACTTTGATCACCACACTTCAAACTCTCCAAGAGTTATAATGGCTTTACCAGTGGAAATACTTTAAAAAGACTGACAGAATTACGTAGTTCGAAATGAGTGCTTTTGATTGGTTATAAACATGTACTTAAGAGAAGTTGGTGTAGGTGAACAACTATTTTCAAAAGATGAAATGATGGGCAGAGACACTATGGTGGGTTTGCTAAGATATCATGATATCTTAGCAAATATAAAAAGTAGGAGGTTTTTATTTTATATTCTAGCTTCAATATCAGGAATTTGAGTTTTTAATTTGTTAAAAACTACAAACATTGTATTGTGGGCATAATAAAATGTAATCTGAGCAAAAGCAGACGACAATGTGCCATGTGACACACAAATGGATATTTATCTTTTTTTATATTTAATTTTGAAGTAAGAAATTAAATAATGTATAGCACTAACATTTGAATTATAAACTACTATCTGATGCTAAATTTCTTGACATACATTCTTAAAATAGTAGTTTAATAAAATTTTCAATGCAAGTCAACAGAATGCGATGACATGCACTCTGACCCTTACCCTAATATATTAATATACCTCTTTTAATACACAGTGTTGTTTTTTTATACATTCCATGTCAGACTGGGTCTTTAAACATTGGTTAGTCATCACAGATTTAATGAGTTAATATGTCTATATTTAAAAGAACTTACCTGTAGAAATCTTATCAAATATGACAACACAAGACGATTGATTTCCGGTAACCTTTCTACAATGTTTATTGCAGTCTGTGGATCATTGCAGTGTTCCACACACTCATCATAGAATTTGTCTGGGATAAGAGGTTCATAAAGCTCTCTATACCACAGCTTTAGAAGTGATGCTGGAACATGTGGATCATTACACTCAGCTATTTCCCACTGATCCATCCGTACCTTCATGGCATTCACTTCATCAATGTCCCCTGGCACCCTACAGTTACAAAATTAATTCATTTCATTAAAATTTCTTGGTACCTCACAGCTACACAGCTGACTCACTCTATTAATACCCCCAGATACCTTATAGTTAACTCACTTCCTCAATTTCCCCTGGTACCCTATGGTTATAAAACTGTTCAATTTGTCTACAGACCAAGCTGTAAAAAGACTTACTTTTGAAAATATTTCTGCACAGGCAGCTGACACAAAAGCACAGAAGGAACAAATAATTGAACAGTTGTTTATGTTTCTAAATAATAAACATTTCTTCAGTACTCAGTAGTAGCACCAATTTGCTATAAAACACAACTATCTATCTACATTTACTAAACAATGACTATTTCATAAATTACTATTAAAAAAAATTATGACTTAAATACAACTGGCTAATGGTTTCCAATATCCTTGAATTTTAAATTACACTGACTTCCAAAAGTTAAGTAACAAACATAAAAAATACATAAAGTTTAAAATGGTGCAAGATTTAATCATCATCTTTGAATCACAAACATATTTGCACATCATTCAATGTGTAACAAACACATATTTAATGTAGGTACCATCAAAACTTGTAAATTATCATCTGTATTAAGACACTTGGATACTGACTTTCATTCATTTATGTTTGGACTCTGGTAAAAAAAAAAAAAATGAAAAGGTCATTTTACACAAAATCGGTATGTGTCATCATCTGGAAGATTCCCTACAGTGAGGAGCTATTGGTAGGCTTGAAGATAGACAGTTACAGACCCAGGTGGATGAATGTAAGAAGGAAGTGTTGTTTCCCATCTATGGACAAAATTCCAACTGCATATAGATATTGTTCAAAGACAGTACAAGGTTGATTATGGGTCACAACCCCAGCAAATAAGTGTTATGTGTTACTTTTGGCCCAATGAAACAGATCTTCTACATCAACATAACTGTCTTTGGATCCCTGCATGGCCACAGGGAGTTGATATCAGTTTGAATGCTACACATGAAAAAAAGAGTTCTCTATACAAGGTAACTAATGGTACGCAAGAGGCTGCACACACACACACACACACACACAAAAAGAGTTCTGTACGTGAGAACACCAATGGTATGTATTTCCTTTATCGATAAAGACAAACAAACAGAAGCATTTAAAGTAGTGTCATGAACATGTATTTTGGACATCATATCAATGGAAGGCAAGTTATTTTTACAGACAAGTCATAATTTAGCCTAAAATATGATGCATCTGTAGAGAATATAGAACATGAAACCAGCTCATGATATCATAGAAAGGGAATCCTATGGTAGTCTAGGCAGAAAGTTTGTGGGTAAATGAAAAGACCTCTATATGTTCTAGGGTGGTACTGTGACTGGCCAGAAATACAGGGCGAGATCTTGGATACACATGTTAGGCCACTTGCATGTGCAACAGGGGATATCTTCTTTTTATGTGAATAATTATGACTATCCACACAGGGCAACTGCTATCAGCCAATACCTGCAAGACCTACCATCACCCATATAAACTGGCCAACACGTTCTACTGACTTCAATCCCATAGAGTATGTCTGGGATGCTCTAGGAAGACATGTTTCTTCCATTCAATCCCCCTCAAACACCACATGATCATCTGTATGAATTTGTTAGTGCATTCTGCTAATCTCAATTCCATAAAACAAGTTTGTGATGCTTCACTCCAAGATATGAAAACTGCTCTGATATGTCAAATGAATCTTTTGCTCTCATAGTCCATTTTATAAACACTATGTAAAGACACTGTGAGTCATGTATAGCCATCAGAGGATATCGCACACATATTGAATATCCGTTATTTAATATTATCATGTTGTATCATGTAAACATGAACATGTCTTTGACATTAGGGGAATAAATATTGCATCATTTTGCCATTATTTGTATTTTACGGTTTGTTGTTTAATGTCTTGAGACTAATGTGGAATTAAAGGTTATTTGCTTACCTGAAGATACCTTCAGTCTGTGCTCCATTCCACTGAAGTACACTTTCAGAGAGAGTTGTCTGGATCCACGGTAACCAACGGTTGGGGTATCTGTCCTTCTGTAATGCCATCACCTCTTCTAATGTGTTGCCAAACATTGAAGGCCGAAAAATTTGAATCTAGCAGTTAAAAACAAAATTTGTCTTTTAAATTAATTTTAAGCAATTAATAGTTTTCTGGATAAACCTTAGTTCAAAAAAGATTTTTCTCAACCGGTTTATCATCATCTATCTAATACTTAAAACAAATCTGGGATGGTTGGCCATGATCACTGGAATGCTGTAAAATTACTAGAAAGTCACCCAAATCCACTTGTAACCAGGCATAAACACCAATTTATTTTTGACTGTGAATACAAGTCATCAATTCCAGTTTTCTATTTATATACATAATATCAATTTACGCTTGTTGACCTTGACTTCTGTAACATTATGCATCCTTGTATTTGCATAATTTGATTTCAGTTTTCTACACATCTAAACATCAATTTATATTTGTTGACCTTGACCTCTGTAACATTATGTCTTTGTGTTTGCATAATTCGTTTGCTATTTTCTACACATCTAAACAACAATTTATGATTGTTGACTTTGACCTCAGTAACATTATGCATCCTTGTGTTTGTATAAATCGATTTCATTTTATTACACATCTAAACATCAATTTATGTTTGTTGACCTTGACCTCTGTAAAAGCATCAACTCCAGTTCACACTGCATAGAAGCAGAAATTTAGTTCTTTCAATAATTACTCAAAATGAAAAGGGAGGTTAAGGAAGTTAACTTAGTCTGGCCATTGGATATAGGAGAATTTTGTCATACTACATATATATAACTGAAAGAGGCAGATTCACGCTTTGTACAAACATTCTCAAAAACACAGAATTTTTGTCCAAAATCCAAACATTCTCATGACTTCAGTAAGCATATATCTAAATTTACCATGAAGCAGAAGAGTTAAGCTACATTATGCCGAACTTTGTTCAATTACTGAATACTAAGTGAAGTTGTACTTCTTAACGAGTATAAAATTAGATGATCCGGTCCCAAACAAAGTTACAGCAAAGCACATTAATAATGTTGGAGTTAAACCTATCTTGTGTAATTTGCTGGCTAGCAAAATTTCTGAAAGTTCATCTTTTTTTTTTTTGACTGAACTCTGCTTGACTGTACCTTCTTAAGTCTATACAGATTCACTTAACTCTTTCTCTACTATAGGCCATATATGTCCCCCTCTCTAATCTAAAACAGTTCGATATTAAACACATATGAGCTTGGAATTTTGTACTACCATGAGAAAAAGGTATTCCCCTTCAATCTTCCCAATGTTTAGCAGTTTTGAGTTTCATATAACTAATTAAGTATTAAAACATGTGTCTTTTTGTTTCTTATTATATATCTAAAAATAAATCTGGCACTGAAAGACTTGATTTTCTATAAATGCGGAAGTGAAAGTTAAAAAGTATATTATTTCTTGATAAGTTCCTTAACAATGTCCATTATCAGCTGTACACGATCCCTTAGCATCATTCATTATAAGTTGTACATGATCCCTTAACAACGTTCATTATGAGTTGTACACGATTCCTTTACAACATTCATCATGAGTTGTACATGATCCCTTAACAATGTTCATTATAAGCTGAACATGATCCCTTAACAAAGTTCATTATAAGTTATACGTGGTTCCTTAACAACGTTTATTATAAGTTGTACGTGGTTCCTTAACAACGTTCATTATGAGTTGTACGTGGTTCCTTAACAACGTTCATCATGAGTTGTACGTGGTTCCTTAACAACGTTCATCATGAGTTGTACGTGGTTCCTTAACAACGTTTATTATGAGTTGTACGTGGTTCCTTAACAATGTTCATTATGAGTTGTACGTGGTTCCTTTACAACATTCATTATGAGTTGTACGTGGTTTCTTAACAATGTTCATTATGAGTTGTACTTGGTTCCTTAACAACGTTCATTATGAGTTGTACACGATTCCTTAACAACATTCATTATGAGTTGTATGTAGTTCCTTAACAATGTTCATTATGAATTGTACATGGTTCCTTAACAATGTTCATTATGAGTTGTACATGATCCGTTAAAAACGTTCATTATGAGTTGTACATGGTTCCTTAACAGTGTTTATTATAAGTTGTACATGATCGCTTAACAAAGTTCATTATAAGTTGTACATGGTACCTTAACAATGTTCATTAAAAGTTGAACATGGTTCTATAACAACGTTCATCATGAGTGGTACATGGTACCTTAACAATGTTCATTAAAAATTGAACATGGTTCCATAACAACGTTCATCATGAGTTGTACGTGGTTCCTTAACAACGTTCATTATGAGTTGTACGTGGTTCCTTAACAATGTTCATTATGAGTTGTACGTTAGGAGAAGGGTCCACACCATCTTCACCTTAAGTTGAGTAGAACAGAATTAAGTACATGTCAAACTGAGCTACTACACGGGGCACATGCAAATTCACAACTATCAATACATCCTGGAACCCAACATCTGAATGATGGTACCAAGAGATGTGCCAATGTAGCAGTTCACATCAAACCAAATCCAATCTGATGGAAACCCCTCAGCACAACAGCACTAGAGGGACACTTTCACACCAAACAACATCATCCTCCAGATAGGACCGCACAGACATTGGAATGTACAAATGTGCAACATCAACCTCCAGGACAAACTGCACAGAGGTGGAGAACATGAGGCTAAACCACAAAATTGGAGTGAGGATCCGGAATTATAACCTACACGTGTGAGGATTTATGTGATTGACCCATCTCTAATCCAAAACTACTCACTGTAAACCATCATCCAGGTTATGGCAAGATGAGGGATCCCAATTGAAGGGGTCAATTGCAGTGTGACAGATCTACTCTATAGCAATGGATAGGACTACATAAAAGTTGGAGTGCAACATCAACCTCTGAGTTCCACCACACAAAAGTGGATAGCCTCTGTGAAATATACACAACCTCACCCTCTAGATAGAACCACACAAAAGCTGGGTACAGCATCAACTTCTGGGACCAACTACATAGAGGTGGAGCAGTGATTGCAGGATCACATGCCATCTACACCAGCAGAACAACACTGCCCAATTCACTACTGAATGGAAGTGATCACATTCAGGGGGATACCTCTGTGGTCCACCACCTCAGCAGCTCAGAATTGGAAAGTGGCAAGGACTCTCATACTCCACTAGAAGAACAAGAGGGGGAATAAAACGTGGTGGAAAGTCTGAAGGAATATCAACACTGGAAACTGCAATGAGTGACCATGAAAACCCTATATTGAAAAGAAGAATGCATTTATTAAATCCATGGGATAGCTGGGTTGGGCAACTATCCCCTACTGTTTTATCCATGCAAGTTCATGGGTTAGCATGATCCAGAATGGGCATCATTAATGAAGAAAATATATTGCAAAGAAAAACCTACTAGCAATCTTGTGGAATACCCTATCTCAACAGTGTACATTACTGACCATGGGTATATTGTGTTTTATTATTTCATCATGGCCATATAATGTGAAGTTGAGATATAGGATGCATACCTGGACAGACAATGCTTGCCACTGAACGTGATCCAAATCCTAAATGGGACTTATCCCTGGATGGAAAAATATATATAGAAAAGATAACTTACTCAGTCCCAGCCACACCAAAGTTTGAAGGATGCCAAGAGGCAGAAGTCGGTACCCTGACAAGGAAGAAACAGTTACCCAATGAAAATAATGGGAGATAAATGTATAAGGAGTAGTTCATATGCTTGACTGAAGAGTTACCTCCAATGAACAACAGAGGTGAGACTCCAGGAAAAAGGGAAGGTGCCGGATCTTAAGCATCGAATCAGGTGATGTTCTCAAATTGTAAGGGTACAAAAAGAAAGGTCACATACAGATGAACGGTGCCAGGGAATAGAAAGGTGAAAACAGGAACCACTAAAGGAGGCCATGCAGACAATGGAACAATGAAGAGCACATACTGGACATAGAAGTCTATCTGGAATAGAACAGGAATAAAGGTGGGAAAGACAGGGATGGAATAGAAAATGAAGAGAAGGAAGAATGACCTTCACAAGCTGCCAAAGTTTTTAGCAGGAAAATCAATCTGGAAGAACCACACAATGAAGAGGTCAATGAATCTGGAGGGAATGTAAATGGAACCAGCTGATCCAATTCTGACTGAGAAAATCCACCACCAGGGTCTGAGGATGATGAACTGGAGACCAAAAAAAAGGTAAATTGTTGTTGGAGTAAAGCGGCAAAAGCATTCAGATGAGCATTCTTCCACTTATTGCATAGCCATCTGAAAACCCAAAGGTTAAGAAACCACTCCATGGGATAAACCTGGACAGCTCTTGAAAACTGAGCTACCACAAGTGAAAAGCACATAGAATATGACACATAAGGAGATTTATCCACAAAGTATGGGCCCAATAATGGAGGTCCAATGTTCGACCACAAAAGGAACAGTAACTGGTGCCTCCATTGTGACTGAAGTAGGCCACAATGGTGGATTGTCATTATGGAAGAAAATGAAACAAAGAACGTCATACCACCATAAGCTCCAAGATGTTGAAATGGTAAAACATTACAATGTAGGACCATTACCTGGAAGCCACTTGCTGATGGACCAACATTCCACAACAGTGAAGAGAAGCATCTGTGATTTGAAGCAAATCCAGGTGAAGTGGAGGAAGCAATACTCCCTTCATTGTGCTGTCCTTGTTCAACCACAAATGCAAAGAGCCTTTAAGGGAAGGAGGAAGGGAGTCCAAGGGATTCAGAGCAAGATTCCATAGACCATGCAGAGACCTCTGAAGAGAATACATACGTACCTTACCCAAAGGAAGAAGAGCTTCCATAGAAGCCCAAGTCTTCAGATGTGACAGAACCTTTTGAGCAGAAACCAAGGAAGCAGTAAATGCATAGAGAACTGAAAGCACTAACAAGTAGAACAGAAGTGGAGAAGAATGGGCCTGAATGAATGGGTGCTGAAAAATATACCCAAGTGGATAAGATAGTGGGTAGGCAAAAGGAAACTTCACCAACTAGAGAATCCAACCAACACAAGCTGCTACTGTCAGCAGTAGGTGTGTGTGTTGAGAAGATTCCAGTTCAGAATGAGCTAACAGGAGCCAGTTGTCCATGTAGTGGTGTCAACACAACTCTAGAGCATACAGAAGATGGGCAAAAACTGTGACCACCCAATAAGATACATACGATGCTGAAACAAGCCCAAAAGACCAGATGCAAAATTGATACACAACCCCATAGTGGACAAACCAAAGATAGAATCTGGACTGATGAGAAATATGAATATGGAGATGGGCATTCGAGATATCTACCTTGGTCATCCAAAGTCTTGGAGTAAAAAAAACCCTTGAGAGTGATAAAGGACTTCAAGGGAAATCAGGGAAGAACCAGAAATTGGTTGAGGCTGGACAGATGGATCACAGGGCAAAAAAAACTTGTGAGCAAAATTCTGGAGAAGGTTGGCTTACATGCTTGGTAGATCTCTGTGATAGAAGGGTCAGCGTAACATTGGATAGACTCAGACATGTAATTCGATCCTAAGTTAATAGGAACGAATATGGTACAGGAGACGAAGGTGAAGGGGAAATGAAAAAGATGAAAACTCCTTCTGACAAAACTTGGATCACCCAAGAATTGGTAGTGTATAACTGCCATAGGGAAACAAAGTTGATCAAATGTGCTCCCACCAGACAGGAAACCACCTGAAAGTACTGGAACTGCTGGCAACTATGAACCCAACTTCGAGACACATGGCAAAATTTTGAACCTCTAATGGTAGAAACTGGTAAAGGATGGGAGGCTGCAGGAGGAGAAACAGTTAAGGGAGAGGTCATGGTATCAGAATAAGAAAAATGAGAAACCAAAGACTAAATGGTCAAATATAGACTTACAGAGTCCACTTGTGATTCCAATGGCCCTGGAAAATCTCCAAAAACAAACCAATGGAGAAAAGGAGCCATCCATAAGTCACAAAGACAAGGGGAAGGTAGATGAACCTGTGAAAAGACAGTATCCTTCTCAATATGATCCCAACAACAACAAAACCAAGTGTGAAGGGATAGGGCCAGGGCCAAAAAGGACAACAGCACCAAGGAAGAGGAAGGAGGGAAAGTGTATTCACCAAAAAAACCCTTGGGAAAGGTTGGGTGCCTCAGAAAGGAGGTGTACTGTAGGAGATATATGAGGGTGAGGCGAAGGTGTGAAAATTGATGTGTGAGAAATGGGTAGGATTATAAGGTACAGTCCCTCATATTGGCAAAAGTGATTCCTAGCTGCCGGTAGTTGTGAAAGGGTTGATCAGAAGCCAAAGTATAAAGATGAGAAGTCCATGGAGGACGAGACAGATTAACACCTGTCCTCAACTGAGAAATGAAATGCTCAGCATGAACCCTGATGTCAGGGGAAGGAAGGAAAACAAGTGACCTTAATGATGGAAAAAAAAAGGAGCTCTATCACATGAAAATGGAACACACTTGAGAAAGCATATCCAAAAAGACTGAGTTAGGCTTGGTAGATCTTGTAGGAAATGCATGAGAAGGCACGGTATAGTTAAGAGGAGGAAAAAAACAACAACTATTCCTTCCTCATCATGGACAGGTTTGAACAATGTAGGAGGAACCTGAAGATTGTTGGGAGATAAAGTACACCGAAGAATGATAGCCAAAAAATCCTCTGTGGAGACCTACAGACCTGAAACCAGTAATGGCACTCGAAGTAGTGGTATAATATCAGAAGTTGTATAATACAAACTTTGGAATGCATCTTAAACCATGAAGAAGTCGAAATTGCAAAAAAAAAAAAAAATCAATAAACAGAGGTAAGTTATCAGAGCAAAAAAAAAAACTGCATATAGAGGGTAGCACTGAACAAGAATAGCGGAGGTAATGTACCGTATTGAAAATGTCCATTATGAGCTTTACATTAGAACCATCTACAAACAAAACACCATAGACCAACGATAACAAAACTACATCAAACAATAACAACTTATAACCATACCTACTGACTAATATCTTTAATATTATCATATGAAAATAGCAATGTGATATCGATGCACAACAGTTAGGTCTTGTAGCAATATGCTTAGGATTTATATTTTGTTTAGTAAAGGAGATTTAGATTGTGAAATATCATCTAAAAACTTACTCTAGACTGTTCTATCTCTTCTAGTGTTGGCTTCCTCAGTCCTTTCTTAGCTCCACTCTGTCCAATTCGCTCCAATCTCTTGCTGTTGATGGCAGCATAATGACTGATTTTAAGCTTTGTGAAAAAAAAAATAATGTGGCCTTTTATAAATTTTTTTTAGATCATTTAACTGTACTGAAATAGAGCATGCAGATCGTTTTGTCCTTGAACAAAAATACCCAAGTCTATCCATATATAAACAGTTATACTGTTCTGGAATCAATTTACTCTAGGCTCATGTACTTATGTGATTTCCTGAATGAAAAAAAGAGAAAAAATTAAGATATTTTAATGTTATACTTCAATATAAAGTTTATTTTTTAATATTTTAATATAAAACATTCACAGTTCTACTGTTTAACAGAATAAATCAAGTCAACTGTGTTACAGTATGGTAGTCTAACTTTTGTATATTTTGGAATCAATTATGGTACCTCTTGTATGCCAAGTGAGAACTCTACAATCTGAACTAAAAGGTTTACCCCTAGCCATTGCTAGTAAGGCACTTAAACTAATAGGGCACTTTAAAAGAACTTAAGTTACCTGGATGCCATATTTCTCCTCCCTCTCTCACACACACACACACACACAATGTCAGAATCCTATTGTATTAATGGACATCAAAAATTCTATGATAACCAAACTTATCCAGGATTGAATCCACACTTCTTGCAAGCATTTTACCATATGAAATAAAGAGTTAACTTCTAACTGTTGCTAGTGAGACACTTTTCAATAATGCAACAACCCATTTAATCCTTTTATTTGGATGGTAGAGCACTTGCTTGGAGGGTGACATTAACTGAATTTGATTTTGGGGCATACAAAAGTTAGATTCTCCTCAAGAGAGAAATTCTGTTATACTAATCACTTAAGAGGCATTTAAATGCCTAGATTACAATATCTGAAAGCTTGTATATGTACAGATCACAGATTTAAGTTCTCTCTAGTTTTTAAGACTCCTACCTCAGGTGTATCAAGGGTTGTTTCATCTTTATGCCGGCTGATGTAGCTCTCTAAGTAAGGTTGAAACTTTATAGATGGTGGAAAGAAAGACAAACAGATAGCCATCAACTCCCAACCCAACTTCAGACTTTCCCTAAGGTAATAATATTAAATTAAAAAACAATGAGTTACAAAAAATAATGGAAATGATTGTAATAAAACTTTCAGAGAACATTTAAGCTGTCAAGCCAATGCTGGAATATCCAACATTACAGATGGCAAAAAAATTTCAAGATCAAATATCTATAATTATGACTTAGATATAAAACTAGTTTTTCTTGTTGGATGAAGAGGTGACTGAAATATCCAGTATTACGAAAACTGTTAGAGTGGCTACAAAATTCAAGTCCAAAATGTCTATGATTACAGTTAGTTACCTTTTTATGAATACATTACTGGAATGTTCAAAATAAACAAACTGTTAGAGATGACAAGAGAATTCAAGCACAGATGTCTACAATTACAACTTACAAAATAAAATAGTTACCTTGTGAGGTGACGAGATTACTGGACTATACAACATAAAGATAAACTGGTTACCTTGTGAGATGAAGAGATTACTGGACTATACGACATAAAGATAAACTAGTTACCTTGTGAGATGAAGATATTACTGGACTATACGACATAAAGATAAACTAGTTACCTTGTGAGATGAAGATATTACTGGAATATACGACATAAAGATAAACTAGTTACCTTGTGAGATGAAGAGTTTACTGGACATTACATCTTAAAGATAAACTAATTATCTTGGAAGATGAAGAGATTATTGGACTTTACAGCTTAAAGATAAACTAGTTATCTTGTGAGATGACGAGATTACTGGACTATACAACATAAAGATAAACTAGTTACCTTGTGAGATGAAGATATTACTGGACTATACGACATAAAGATAAACTAGTTACCTTGTAAGATGAAGAGATTACTGGACATTACATCTTAAAGATAAACTAATTATCTTGGAAGATGAAGAGATTACTGGACTTTACGACAAACTAATTATCTTGGGAGATGAAGATATTACTGGACTTAAGACTTCAAGACAAATTAATTATCTTGGGAGATGAAGAGTTTACTGGACTTTATGGCTTAAAGATAAACAAGTAACCTTGTGAGATGAAGATATTACTGGACTATACGACATAAAGATAAACTAGTTACCTTGTGAGATGACGAGATTACTGGACATTACATCTTAAAGATAAACTAATTATCTTGGAAGATGAAGAGATTACTGGACTTTACAACTTAAAGATAAACTAGTTATCTTGTGAGATGAAAGATTGCTGGACTTTACAACTTAAAGATAAACTAGTTATCTTGTGAGATGAAACATTGCTGGACTTTACAACTTAAGGATAAACTAGTTACCTTGTGAGATGAAGAGATTATTGGGATATTTTGTGATTTAAAGATAAACTATTTAACTTTTGAGATAAAGAGGTTATTGGACTATTTTTTTTCTTTGTGAGAGACTATTATTTACTCTTATTCTCATCAAATGAAGATACTTTCCTGGAGAACTTATTCTATAAAAATGCATATACATGTATATTTTCCTGTTAAATATTTGTTTTCTAAAATAATGATAATAATGCCATATAAGAATCATTAAATTTAAACTAAATTTTCTTAAATAGTTAAAACCTTGAACAAGTTTGGCTTTTTCTTAACATGCCAATAAAAAACAATGAATATTCTTTTACTTGTATTTTAACAAAAAGAAAATACTCAAATAAACAAAAATGATTTAGTGCAAATACTAACAAAACATGCAAAACATCTATGATTTCGATGTGTTACGTTTAATTTTAAAATATAAAACATAAAGTCAACATCTTTTTACGTAAAAAAAAAAGATATTTCTTTACAAGTTCAAAAAATAGAAGAAATAGAAAAATAAAATAATTAAATTACATATGTAAGACAGAAGTGCTTTTAATATATTTTCTTTCTCTATTTAATGTTTAATTTCACTTTTTAAAAATTATACTATCTATTAAAAGTAAAACTTCTTAGTGGAAATTGAAAGTATGACCAAAATCTTTAGGACAACTCAAGAAAAAATACCTCTTTGGATTGTCATTTGTCTGACGACAAATTTGGATATAAAGCTCATCTCGCAAGGCTTGTTTACTCCACCCCCTAGTGGCTATGTCTAGAGCCACAGCATCCACCGACTGTCCACTCTTGGCTTTGCGATCACCCATGTAGGTCTGAATAAGTTTGAAGACTTCACAAGCATCTCTTTTGAGTGCCTTGTCTGTGGTCATTATCATAGGTTTCCTGATTAAGTCCTATACATAGAACATCATAACCTTAATGAAAGTCTACCCCTTTTTCTTCCAAGTTTATTGGTAAATGTTTCCCAACTCTATATTAGTTTATATGAAAGGTTACTAACCTTAGACCAGGTCAACATATCTTGTATAGTAAATTTCTTCCTAAAAATTCCTTTCTTGTGTCTGTTTAAATTATCTTGTGCATACTTTTCTATGTCACTTTCTGAAGGTGGTTTCTTGTCCTTATAGAAACCAGTTGTCATTTTTCCACCAGCCTAAAAGAAAAATGAAACACACAGGCAATGTGAGTACATTTCCTTAACAACCTAAAAGATAATACTCACACAAGCAACCTAGGAGAGAGAGAGAGAAAATTAATATATTGGCACACTATTGTTGTTGCCAACACAAAATTCCAGTAAATTGAAATTTATGTTTGGCTCTTAATAAACTTGCTTCTTAAGAAATAAAATAGATAAAGACAATAAATTTTGGAATAGCAGCACCACCTACTACAAAAATACAAAGACAATGAACAAAATAACATTAACTAGATAAAACACGTGATATAACATCACATACAAAATATTCTAATAGGAAAAACACTTTTTAGTAGCTTGAAACATGGAAGTATTGTTGTATCACCCATATCATTAAAACACTGTTCTAGTAGCTTAAAACATGGAAGTATTGTTGTATCACCCATATCATTAAAACACTGTTCTAGTAGCTTAAAACATGGAAGTATTGTTGTATCACCCATATCATTAAAACACTGTTCTAGTAGCTTAAAACATGGAAGTATTGTTGTATCACCCATATCATTAAAACACTGTTCTAGTAGCTTAAAACATGGAAGTATTGTTATATCACCCATATTATTAAAACATTGTTCTAGTAGCTTAAAACATGGAAGTTTTGTTGTATCACCCATATTATTAAAACACTGTTCTAGTAGCTTGAAACATTAAAATAACATTATTTGTATTATTCAAACACTGTTCAAATGGCCTGAAAGATAACAAAAATATCATCACAAAACTAGTTTTTCAACACCACTGTTTCAGAAAGCCAAATAATTATAATCAACAAGTTGTAAATTAATGTTACGAATCATTGTTTCTAAAACCAGAATGCTGGTCAACATAATGGAACACTATATTGTTATTAAATGTTGTTTCTACAGACCGAATTATGACCATCATGTTATAACACTATATTATTATTAAGCATTGATTTTAAAACCAGAAAAATGTTTAAAATGTAACACTGTTTTTAAAGCAATAATTAACCAACATATTATAACACTCTATCACAATTAAACAATTTCTAAAGCCAGAATGATGCCCAACATATTATAGCATTACTGTTTCTACAGCCAGAATGATGTTTAACATGTTGTAACATTACTGTATAAAGAAAGAATGATGATCAGTGTGTTGTAACATTACTGTATAAAGAAAGAATGATGATCAGTGTGTTGTAACATTAGTTTCTAAAGCCAGAATGATGCTTAACATGTTGTAACAAAATTAATTGTTTATAAAGTCAGAATGACAATCAACATGTTGTAACATTACAGTTTATAAAAAATGATGATCAACATATTGTAACATTACAGTTTATGAAGTCAGAATGACGATCAACATGTTGTAACATTACAGTTTATAAAAATGATGATCAACATATTGTAACATTCCTGTATATAAAGTCAGAATGATGCTTAACATGATGTAACATTCCTGTTTATAAAGTCAGAATGATGATCAACATGTTGCAACATTACAGTTTATAAAGAATGATGATCAACATATTGTAACATTACTGTTCATAAAGTCAGAATAACAATCAACATGTTGTAACACTACTGTTTATAAAGAAAGAATGATGTTTAACATGTTGTAACATTACTGTTTATAAAGAAAGAATGATGCTTAACATGTTATAACATTACTGTTTATAAAGCCAGAATGATGCTTAACATGTAACATTACTGTATATAAAGTCAGAATGACAATCAACATGTTTTAACATTCCAATTTATAAAGAAAGAATGACAATCAACATGTTTTAACATTACAATTTATAAAGAAAGAATGATGATCAACATGTTGTAACATTACCATTTCTGAGAAAAGAATAACAATCAACATCTTGTAATGTAAAATGTCATAAAGTCAGAACTATGAACATTGTGTTGTAATACTATATTGTTAATAAAATCTCTTTCTAGCATCAGAATGACAATGAATACATTATAATGTAAATAGTGCCTTAACTACCATTATGTATGTCATATCTCAGTTGGCTTGAAGAGCCCTGGTATTAGGCAAAAATCCTTGTCAGCACTGGATATAGTATATATAGTGTGGCTCACATATTGTTCTACACTCTTATTTACTATTATTCAGAAACTCTTTCCAAAGCTTATGAAATTATATGAGATGCAAAAAAATTATCAATTGTCTTAGGCTCGTAACTTCATTATAAATGACTTATGGCATCTTCTAACACAGATATAGAGTAAAAGAAATTCATGAAACAAAAAAAGTAAATTTATAGAGTAAATGTCTACCTGTCTGTGAAGAGATCCCGATATTACATGTCCAGGAACAGTTCCTTCTGTCATGCTAGAAGCCATCATGGACGATGGACGTTGGTTATTCTCTTGACCCATGTCTGGCTGAAATGACTGAATTAAACAGATAAAAGTAAGATGATATATGTCAACTGTTAGAACAGTCAAACATAATAAACAATGACAGTAATAAACAGTACAAATAATTTCATTGTAGATATATTTATATCTATTTAGATGATGACAGTAATAAACAGTACAAATAATTTCATTGTAGATATATTTATATCTATTTAGATGATGACAGTAATAAACAGTACAAATAATTTCATTGTAGATATATTTATATCTATTTAGATGATGACAGTAATAAACAGTACAAATAATTTCATTGTAGATATATTTATATCTACTTAGATGATGACAGTAATAAACAATACTAAAATCTACACTGTAGAAATACTTGAGGTTATCTACTTGTAGTACAGATTTAATTTTTACTTACTTTTTAAAAAAAGAAATAAAAGAAGGAATTAAGTTACAGATTATCAAAGCAGAAACTGTCCAATACCATACTAGATCCTTTTAAAATATAATTAAACATCTAATAACAGAACATACTTGTGATAGTTAAGTGTACACAAGACTGACAAAACTAAATGCTTATCAATTTAACAGAACAGACTTGTGACAGTTTCTTAGTTTTGTCAGTCTTGTGTATACTTCCACTTATCAATATAACAGAACAGAAAAGTTTGTCTTAAACTAAACACACAGTATGACATATAACTTAAGAAAAAACTCCACCTGAGATTTCTCGAGAACTGGGGAGTATAATGGAGGAGATTCTGTGCGCTTACGACGAAGAGAAGCATGCTGTGTGTTCAACGCTAAGGACGATGGAGGAATAGGACCGCCACGATGTTGTAAAACTGGTGAAGATGTTGAGAAGATACTACTATTATCACTTTCACCAAAGTCCATTTCTAGCCTTGGGTCTAGGCAGAAAAGTTTGAGAAATTCACTCACATTCTACACAAAAACAAATTTAGCACTCTAGGCTTATGTAAAAGAGTAAAAATAGTAAAAAAAGTCAAATTAAACAGCTTAAGGTTAATATAAAAATAAAAGACACTTCATTTGATGCTTACAAAATAGTGTTTTCATCTATTCAAATTAACGTACAGAAATGTATTTAAAAATTTATTATTTTAATGAAAGATAAAAGTAAAAGTAACAAAAAAAAAAAGAAAGAAAGATGAGGTATTGTTGTAATTTTTCCTTACCTAATAATTTATGACTAACTTTGTTTCTCAGTTGACATGGTGATGTGAGAGGACCACAAAAGGTGTCACTATCATCATCATCGTCCAAAAACCTAGTCTCATCCAGGTATTCTTGAGAAGATGAATCTTGATGACTCATTCCCTCATCATCAGCAAAGTCATCATCTTCATCATGTCTACACTCTGACTCATCACTCAGAGACAAAGAGTCTTTGTCATCCGCAAAAAGATCCCCAAACTTGTACCCTACAGCAGAGAAGAAATTTGCAATTGTTTGGTCAGTAATATAAATAAAATATAATACTACTAAATCCCGTGTTTACGGTAAAAACATAAAGGATTGTCACAAACAGATAAAAACAAATGATCCAATGTAAAGTTATTTATGACCGTTTATGAAAGAAACGTTCAAATTACTTTGAGAGTTTATTATGTCACATAATAAAAAAAGAAGCTAACCTGAAAGTTTGGCTTGTTCCAATAAATAGTGCTGTAATGGTAGTAGATATGAACCTTTGTCTGTGTCACTATCCCACAGACCAGGATAATCCAGGTTACTATACAGTGGTGTTGGCTCATCATTATGGGAAGCTCTTTCCTTAGCTTGTTGAGACTTGCTTGGGAAGGAGCTATTAAAGTATGATTCTAGAGAGACATCATCTTCTTCGCCTTTCTTAGAGGAGAGGTGTTGGGATTCCAGATTAGCTCGAGTCAACCACTTTGTAGGTGTTATGTTCCGCCCATGGTCTCCATGACTAGTGTCACATCCAAGAACAGGAGAATCTGCAGACAATGTGGAACTATCAGGAGAGCTCTGTTTTTTTCTGAAAGACTCGACACTCACTTCTCTGCTCTTTATTCTACTAGGGTCAGTCAGAGATGGGCTGATACTTGAACTTTGTCTTCTGTCGGAAGAAAACTTCTCTGAATACTTAGGAAGAATGGCATCTTCTCTCTGACTAGGTGACACTACTTCGCTTCGGTGTCGTCGATGAGGATATTCCAACTGACGTGATCTACCTGTCTGCCAACTTCCTCGATCCTTAGAATACTGTCCAAGGGTCACACCCCATTCCCCCAGATATGGTGAATCTATACTGTGGTGTTTCCATGAGCCAAGAGATTGTGAGCATTCCAAATCTAGTGAAGTCTGTCGAATAAAGTCCGTTCCTGATTGATATCGGACTTGCTGTGTAGAGTCTTCTAAAATAGATGGTTTTAGCTGAGTTGAAAACTCCAGCTGTCTGTTAAAGAAATCAATTAAATGGGATAGTTAAAAGTGAACAGAATTTGTAATTTTTAACACATAAAGAAAGCTTCAATATTTAATATGAAATTAGAAACAGATAATGTTACAGAAGTAAGTTATTAACCAAGCAACATATACAATCTCTAAAGTTAATACAAATATATTTCTCATATACCTGCTACTTTCTAGAGAGTTTCGACTCTGCGAAACAGAACTAGAGTCACTAGAACGTCCAGAGTCCTGGGAGCGGGAAGGTTGGTAGTGCCAAGAAGTCTGGCATGACTGGTCACCATTTGACTTCTCTTCTTCTTGTGTGTCTCCATTGAAAAGTTGACCTGATGTAGGGGGATGAAGAGGTGAGGAAGGGCTTGGGGTGTGCTTGTGGTGGTGATGATGGTGCTATAAAACATGATGAATTCACTTTTTTAATGCATCAATTATCAGAAACTACACTAATGAAATCTTTAAATTACACGCTGATGAATTTTCTACTATTTAATATGCATCATTTTTCTTGTATTTCTGGCAAAATGAACACACAAATCATAAAATAACTTTCAATACATTCCTGCATGTTGAATCTAACAGTCTTTGTGCAGTTATTCATACTAAAATATTAGTAAAGTGTACAAATATCTTATACTATTACAAGTCAATTTTTACATCTTGTGAGAACTTGGTTTCTTTCTTATCTTCACAAAAAACATATACACACAGTTAAAAATATGTATACACCTGAAATATATTAAAAAAACCAACACTACAAAAGCTTGTTGCACCTTTCCCCAATTTTGTTCAACACAATTATAATTTGACAAGTACCAAAAGGAACATTTTCAATTTAATCATTTCCAAATATTACATATACAAGTAGGATAATAGTAACAATTAATAAATAAACCACATTGTATTTACAAAACATGGAAAAGGGTTTATTCTCTTGTTTTATCTTAAAACCAGTTCTCAAATTGCTTAAATTATATCAAAACAAATAGCTGAAAAACAATAAAATTCACAATGAAAATACCTTGAAGACTTAACAATAGCCAGAAATAACTTTTAGCTTCTACTTTTATTAAACAGAAAGCATCCTATACATATAACCAGGAAATATATCAAATGCCCTACAGACTATACAATAATGTTATCAACATGTTTTAACTTTTAGCTTCTATTTTTCAACAGAAAAAATCACATACATATAAACAGGAAAAAATTAAAATGCCCTACACACTAAACAATAATGTTAAACATGTTTAACTTTTTGCCCTACATTTAAACAGAAAGCATCACATACATATAACCAGGAAATATATCAAATGCCCTACAGACTATACAATAATGTTATCAACATGTTTTAACTTTTTGTTCTTCTTTTAAACAGAAAGCATCACATACATATAAATAGAAAAAAATAGTAAATGCCCTACTGATCAAACAATAATGTTATCAACATGTTTTAACATCCTATACAAAAAAGATACTTGCTGAAAAACATGTTGATCTTACTAAGTACATATGATTGTTTAAACACTACTACAACTGGAGACAAAAGTGATGTACAGTTTTCACAGTAAGTTGTCAATAAGAATATTTAATAACTTATTATGTATACATAATAAAAGTGTATTAGAAGAGGGAGGGCAGCCTTCTCACATCTAGTTAGACTAGAATCTTTCTGATTTATTTAAGAAACACTGATAAAATCTTTCCAGAGTTCTTGTCTTCTTAACTAAAGTTAATGTTCAAAAAAATAAAATACTTTCAGCTTTTCTACTTTTATATAACAAGATCATTGTGAAGTATTTCCCATGTATGTCAGGAGATTTTAGACGTCACACCCTGTTCTATAGGTTTTAAATTTTCCAAAAGAAGTGAAAAGTAAGATTGGGTGGGAGTTGAACCTGCAAAACTGCCATTGGATAAAGAAAAAAGGTTAAAAATGGTTTAAAATGCTCCACTGCTTAAATCAAAAAGACATGGCAACAAGTAGCAGAAAATATAGGCAAAAGTTAAAGTCAGTTACATAACTGATCTCATACACTTTACTGCTTATGAGTGATAACAAGCATTATGGAAAGAAAATGCCTTCTAATACTGAGCTACACAAAATAGAGAAAACACAGAAGTTTGGTGGACAACTTTCTACAGCTGCAAGCAAGAAAGAATTTCAACATTTCTACAATAAAACCCAGATCAAACTTTTTAACATTCTGCACACAGTTACAGATACAACTGGAAGTTAAGCTGTCATTAAAAGCAGCATTAAAACAGATATCTTAGTTAAAGACTCATTAGTTACAAATCTATAAAAGAGAGCAGTATTATGCAAGTCTTATTTCAAGCAAAAAGGAAAGTAGGTCTAGCTCATTCAAGTTTTTTATACAAAAGCCACTCCCACAATGAGTAGATAAGGGTTCTTTCTGAAAGCTAGCTTAACAAACGAACAGGGTTGAGTATCTATGGGTCTCTCTGTACCAGTTATGTGCAATGAAAATGACAATATACCAGTGAGAAAAACATTCTAGCATCTTATATTTTCTCACCAGTAACTGGTAATGTTTAGTGTGGATGTGACACCGCTACTCCAGTGTCTACTACGGCAACTTCATTTGCTGAAGTACTTACTTTACGTCGTAGTTGGGGCGAAGAAACAGGGCTAGTTTGTGTTGACACACATACAGCTGAGGATTTGATGAAGCGAGGAAGATCTTCTTGCATCTGCATTCACAAGTTCACATTAAATATATAATTCCTATCTTCGTAAATCTAAAACTTCTATTTTTATAAGGGGTATGAATAATTCATCCAGTATTCAAAACTGATTTATAAACAACAAATAGGAAAGTAACGGCACCAGTTACCACATACCTTGACGTATAATGTTTTCTTTATTAAACTTTACTCGAGCTTGAAATGCTTAATTTACCTTCTTGTATTCTGCGTAAATTTTAAATAAGAGTATTTCTAGCTGATCATCTCGTGCTTGGGAATTCAAAGACAATAAAAGAAACAGAAATGTCAGTAGGAGTTAACCCTATTATTCACCCAAATGATAGAAACACATTTCTAGATTTGATTATTTAAATTAAATATTTTATAAATAACTTCTAAGCACTGAGCTTAAAACCCACATTAAACTGGCAGTAGATAGATATTTGATCAATAACAGATAACTGAGAAGAAAACTTTAGTTTTCACTCACTCCCAGTTGCTACAGAGCTAGATCATTCAATGTGGAAAAAGAAATAAAATCACAAATCTTCTTGAAGAAAAAAATACTGATAAATTAAAATGAAACTTGCTAATTTATTCCTGATATTTTAACAATATATGTTACATAAGATACCAATGTAATAGGAAAATAATAAAATTATTCCAAATAGTGAAAAATATAAAATTAATTTGCATCAGAGAATAGTTAGTCAATGAAATAACTTTGGATTAAATCATAAAGAAATAGAGCACCCAAATAATCAACTACATATATAATTTTGATGAACTGATATAACAAGTTATGGCAGTAAAAAAACAAAACTGAGCTACATCTCTTGCTCCTCGACTGTCACAATAGTTTGCTGCAGGAAGACATGACTTGTAAAAACACTGTACTTAAAACAGTAATGCTAAAACGTCACCCCAGCTGATAGTATTAAAAGACAACACTACACACTATGCACTAATGTTAAATGATAAAACTTCACCCCAGATGATAGTACACAACCTCACTCCAAATGTTAGTGTTATATAACAGCACTGTCTATCAGCAGCAGTGTTAAATTATACAACCTAACTTTGAATTGTTACAGTCAACATCACTTTCTGTGGTGATGCCATATCTGCCAAGTGTGCTTATTGATAATAGACCAGCATCATAGTTTCCATTTCAAAAGTTTTATCATAAGACTGTCAGGCCCAAATCACAAAATCCTCCCTCCATGCCTTTCATATGCATATAGTTCAAGAGTACAACAGTTTCCCAGCATGCATTTAACATCTCAATTGCACAGAAATCCATATGTGTTCCATTTGGCAACTTAATTAGTATGTCTTCATATGAAATATTGATTGTATTTTCTAACTGCTTGAGGTATGTGATGGTTTAGCAGGAAGCCTCATTTTGGTGAACCCATACCCTCTTAGCCTCATTTCCAAATGGAGCTTCTTTTTGATTATGTTCCAAAACTAGTATAATTTAATAACATACGTTGATCAAATTGAGATTAAACAGATTATTATCTATTATATCTTCTATTGTGCAGCTATATAGTGAAGAACTGAATAGTGGCCGATGACACTTTTTCTTCACTTCACCTATCCAGTGTATAGGTTTTTCTTAGTGACTACAAAGCATGTTTACACCAACAGTATGTTTAATGTTGCCTGGCAGCTTTTGCCATTGACCTTTGTGTTCATGGACTCTTACCTGTTTCATGGTGCCAACATTTACATACCATGACTGGTGCATAAATCATTGAAGGCCTATTTCTGGATGGTCCTTTTTCTCCATGTTGATTTATGTTCTTTTGTTTTCCAATACCATAAAGTAAAAGGGATATTTCCATCTTGAAAATTCTAAATCTCCAATCTGAACAATTTTTCTGAGCTAAGTCCATGATTATTTTGCATTAGAATGGGCTATTACATACCCTTCCCAAAAACATTCATTTTTGGTAGATCAAATGATTTATGAATGCCAAAATATAGTTCTGATACAGTCTGTTCCACCATGACTTTATATCAGCTGTGGATGTCACAACTTGCTCAATTGCATAATCAAAACTGTTTCAATAAAATATACTCACCCCTTTATGAAGGCAATGTCCAGTACAAGCAATTTAAATTTATACTTTACTGCAGATTATAGTATTAAACAATAATACTTTATTCCAAATGGTAGTATTAATTGACAGTACTACCTACTAGAAATAATTAAATAATAGTTTACTCCAGATGGTAACGTTATTGTACAGCACTAGCTACTAGAAACAATTAAATAATAGTTTACTCCAGATGGTAACGTTATTGTACAGTACTAGCTGCTAGAAACAATTAAATAATAGTTTACTCCAGATGGTAACGTTATTGTACAGTACTAGCTACTAGGAATAATTAAATAATACTTTACTCCAGATGGTAACATTATTGTACAGTACTAGCTGCTAGGAACAATTAAATAATAGTTTACTCCAGATGGTAGTATTATTTGACAGTACTACCTACTAGGAACAATTAAATAATACTTTTCTCCAGATGGTAACGTTATTGTACAGTACTAGCTGCTAGGAACAATTAAATAATAGTTTACTCCAGATGGTAGTATTATTTGACAGTACTATCTACTAGAAACAATTAAATAATAGTTTACTCCAGATGGTAGTATTATTTGACAGTACTACCTACTAGAAACAATTAAATAATAGTTTACTCCAGATGGTAACGTTATTGTACAGTACTAGCTACTAGGAATAATTAAATAATACTTTACTCCAGATGGTAATGTTATTGTACAGTAGTAGCTACTAGCAACAGTTAAATAATACTTTACTCCAGATGATAGTATTATATGTCAGTACTACCCACTGACAGCGGTATTAATGTTAGTACTTTACACAATATGGTAATTCTGTATGATACCAATGCCAATGAGCAGTAGTGTTAAATTATATTTACTCCAAATGCTAGTTATATAAAATATTCTTTCTTTTCATCAGCAATCAGGCTTTATCCATACATTTTCTTTTTGGAACCCAAATTTGGCCCTATTCCAAATGTGCAAAGCCTTCTAAATAATATCAAAAGATTCAATTAATTAATTAAATATATATTAAATTTTTTTAAGAAAGAAAACAGAACAATAAGTTTAAATACATTTATTCAGAGATTCAATAAGTTTCATTCAGTAGATAATCTGAAGTTTACAAACATATTTTCAGGCCTACTTTTTCTATATATGAAAGTCTTTAGCTCCCATATTTTGCATCAAACTTTAGTAATTCTGACTGACAACAGTGTTTCTTACACAGCAGTGCTACCTCTTACATAAAAACTTACAAGTCCTTTTGTAGCGGTCTGTGTCCCAACTGATTCCTTCTTGACACCTGTTTTTTCTTCATCCAGTACTTCTGTATTCTGTTTAAGAGTCTGAAAAATAACAAACAAAAAAATGAAATGAAATTTCATCACATACCAAAGCATTTTAGATAAAATTTTGTCAGCTATTATGCCATACTTGCAATATTCCAGGCTGTGTAAATTACTTGCTATGCCTTACCTAAATATTTAAAGCATTTGGAAATAACATGCAATGTATTTTCTTCTGAATAATAATAATAATTCAATAACACAAAATATATTTTCTACTACATAAAACTAGTACAACACCCAATGTTTCTTTTATCTAAATGAAACTAGTACAACACCCAATGTTTCTTTTTTCTAAATGGTAACTAGTACAACATCCAATGTTTCTTTTTATCTAAATGAAACTAGTACAACATCCAATGTTTCTTTTTTTCTAAATGAAACTAGTACAATACCCAATGTTTCTTTTTTTTAAATGAAACTAGTACAACATCCAATGTTTCCTTTTTTTTAATGAAACTAGTACAACACCCAATGTTTCTTTTTTTCTAAATGGTAACTAGTACAACATCCAATGTTTCTTTTTTTCTAAATGAAACTAGTACAATACCCAATGTTTCTTTTTTTTAAATGAAACTAGTACAACATCCAATGTTTCTTTTTTTTTAATGAAACTAGTACAACACCCAATGTTTCTTTTTTTCTAAATGGTAACTAGTACAACATCCAATGTTTCTTTTTTTCTAAATGGTAACTAGTACAACATCCAATATTTCTTTTTATCTAAATGAAGCTAGTACAACACCCAATGTTTATTTTTTCTAAATGAAACTAGTACAATACCCAATGTTTATTTTTTCTAAATGAAACTAGTACAATACCCAATGCTTATTTTTTTTAAATGAAACTAGTACAATACCCAATGCTTCTTTTTTTTAAATGAAACAGAATCATTTCTGCTGAATTAAGTTAATCCAATAATATCAGTAAATAAGACATAAAACAAAGCTAACTTTCATGACTAAAAAATTGTAAACCATAACATAAATGTATTCACATGTCTTCATACTGTGTTTATTCAAATGTAAACATCATATCTTCAGTAAAAAGATGTTAGATTTACAAGTTTCAATCCAGGTTAAAATTAATTCAAGGCAACAAATATGTCCATCATGCCAACTATTACAAAATATCATCAGTAGAGTTTTATAACTCACAACATGAAAACAAGAGGATATTGTGAAGCAAAAAACAGAAGTAAACACAATAAAAAGAATAATAATGATACTTATATTTTTATTATGTCAGCCACTATTTTAATACCATCTTTCATAGTTCATTCATAAGTCAACATTAGATTTTTTCTGTTGTTAGTCCACCTCTTCTAAATTGACATAAACCTACTTCAGATTTGTATTCAGTTTTACTTTTATTATCTCTTAGGATGAGAAAAAGTAATCACTTGATATAATCCATCATGTCTTTCCATTCTCTATAAACATTTTGTCATAATGTTATTTTAGAAATCCAAGACCAGCATGTCAACATGATTAAAGATATTTCTGAGGTTTGCATTAAAGTGGTTAAAATTTCAAAAAATGAAAGAAACCCATACAGATAACAAATAATGCTCACTGAACAAAACTGTAATGAAGGAGGCCTGAAAGAAGTTGAATTTTTAATCTGTATGACTAAGAACATCATAATGATAAATATAAATACTTCAAACATTAAACACAATATCAAATTGCCATGGTTACTTTCAATATAACAATTATCTGACAGTATAGACATATTTGTATTATGTACGAAACTAATGAGAAATGTGAGTAGATTAACTGCCTTGTATAAACATAACCATAACATGCAAGTTATTAGATGCTTACCATTTGAGGTTTTTTTTGTTTGTTTTTTTACATTTAGTTACAGATAACTTTCTTTCCATGTAAAAGTAAACATTCAGTAGAATGTCACCATGAGACGTACTGGTCTTACACTGTATTTACTGATTATCATTGTCCACCAGGGGTCAGGGTTTTATTACATCTACAGTGTTTCATGAAAGGGTGCACTGTATTTCAAAATGTTTGAGAGATTTGATCTGGACATAGGAAGTAGTTAGAAAATGAACAGAAGTCTTTTAGTAACAGCACTGTACACTGATCACCAGCTAGATGGAGTAAAATAAAAAATTAGGTTTTCTTCAAGGAACATCACACACACAACTTTCTCACCCATGTTTATCTTCGTAAACAAATGGGTACTAGCAATACAGTAACAATTAAGTTATCATTATATTAATCCATAGGAATTTTAATATGCACAAAATAATAATATAATTATTTTAAAATCTTTAAAAGATTTTGCAAAAGTAATCCTAATTGCTTTTGTGGCATACAACATAATTGTAGAGTGATTTAAATATATATACTCATGAATTATCTTAATACGGTTCAGGATTCAGTTAATTACTTTAACACTATATTACATCATCATCACATCTAATACCAAGTCTGAATGTGATGTTTTCTGCATTAAAATATTATAGACAAACTCCATTTTGTTTCTTAATCCTGGCTCTGAAATTCAAGATCATTACTTACCTCTTGTCCAGTGATTTTGAACTTTAGTTCTGACCTAATGGCCATCAATGTATTAAAAGATTGCAACTTTTGCAAACATATTACCACTCAGTGATAAACAGATGTATATAATTAAGCAGTAAATAGTGTTTTCTTGTTATTAAAGAAAACGTAGACTTCTCTAAACATGAATGTATATAAATATTGCATAAACTGGGATGTTACCTGGAGTTTTGCCAGAGGAATGATGTCACAGTTCTGTGGCCTATGCCACACTGTCTTCTGGCTTGTAGCATTGTAGTAGTAAAATCTAGAAGTGTTCTGGTCAAAAAGTTCCCACCACTGGTTGTCATCTGTCTTTTTACTGCAGGACAATTGCATGTTAAAGTTGAATGCCATTATTGTGATAAAATAATAAGGACTAAAATTTAAGTTGGTGTAAAATAATAATAAACGTTTAGTGGCATCATTGTAATAACACAATATGGACTACATAGTCCATATTGTTTTATTACAGTGATGCCACTAGACTTTTGTTATTTTACACCAACTTAAATTGTAGTCCATATTGTGTTATTAGTGATGCCACTAAACTTTTATTATTTCACACCAATTTAAATTATAGTCCATATTGTTTTATTACAGTGATGCCACTAGACTTTTGTTATTATTTTACACCAACTTAAATTAATTTAAATTGGTGTGAAATAATAAAAATTTAGTGGCATCACTATAATAACACAATATGGACTATAATTTAAATTAGTGTGAAATAATAAAAGTTTAGTGGCATCACTGTAATAAAACAATATGGACTATAATTTAAATTGGTGTGAAATAATAAAAGTTTAGTGGCATCACTGTAATAACACAATATTGATTACAATTTAAGTTTGTGTAAAATAATAACAAAAGTCTAGTGGCATCACTGTAATAAAACAATATGGACTATATTTTGGTGTTTAACAAATAATTGTAACTCTGCTGTAATACAATAAGGACTACAAGTTAGTTTTTTTGAAGTGTTAGCATTTGTTTTTTATGTTTAACTTTATAAATTTAACTCTTTACAAAATAACATCTAATTTGGGTTCAAATTCCATAACTTTCACAATCACATGACACATATAAAAGTACTCAAAGTTCAATAACAACACAAGTAACATTAAAGTTACAGTGCAAAATAACAGATGACTTAATAGACATATACATTATTTATTATTTACAGGGTGTTTCCAGATGGTAGAATAAGTACTGCTGAATAAGGACTGGTTTCTCTGATTACTTTATATTACACCAGTGTGTACATAATTGTTAGTTATCACCAGGAAAGAGTGGTATATGTAGTACAAACTTAGGTTGTATGAATCCAAAGTCTCTGTATTTGAATTCAGTTGAAGCAGTTTATGTTTCACAATCTTCAGTACTGAAAGAAAGGGTAATGTACATGCATAAAATGCAACAAAAATCAGCTCAAAACTACTTTTACGTATGTCTATTCCAAGTTCAAATGATTAATTAAGGTCATTTAATTAATGTTCATACATTTTTTAACTAATATTTCTACCGATTGATGTTCATCACGAACTTATTTATAAAATGCATAAAAAAAAAATTGATACAAGCAAAAATAATCAGTTACCAGAACTAGTACTAGATGGCGCTTACGTGGTATAATGAAATAGGTATTAATTTGCATTAATTAAAATTTAAAATACCAGGTGGTTTACACCTAAATGCAAATAAATTCAAAGAGGAACCGGCTGTCTTTCAACAACACAATCAGACGATGGTGTGGCGCCAAAATCAAGGGCTGATCTTTGACGAATCCCGCCATCACCAGGGGTCCACCCAAACTACTGCACAGAACACCCAGAAGAAGTCATTAGCAAGGAGGACCTACTATAAAGAGATTCCACACCTGACCCTGTATAAATATCTGCAGTCCCTACACTGATTGTGGTGTACAGGCTGCCGAACCAAACTGTCTTAGTGAGCTACTATAAAACACTGCAATTAGTGGCAAGTGGGAGGGGGTTATTCATCGTAAGCTACACCATACACATCGGGAAAAAACAACAAACAAACCGAAACTATAGTAAACATTCTATTCTCCAAGATTTCTAAAACACGAGACTGTGGACACCAGATGGCACTCTCACAGTAGATAATACAAAGTAGCAGTAGGTCCACACCCATAATCAATAATAAATGAATGACAAACGTACTACTATAAAATAAAACACCTAATCACGAAGGCAACAGCTAATAATAACATAAAACGCTATGCAATGATTTACAAATATTTAAACATACTAAACACACTAGAGGAATAACAAAAACAAAAAAACATACAATCACAAACATGGCGGAACATAACTCCTAATATTCATCAGATAAAGTAAAACAAAAACATAATATAATACAATGTGACTAACAAAAGAAACTATTAATAACACTTTTTGATGAACGGTTTAATATCCATCTCCTAATATTTACCATATTTTTAGCAGAACAGTATATCTTAGGTAAGTTTCTCTTCAGTGCCACGTAGCTTTGTTTGACTAACGGCAATATACAGTGCCAACAGATGGCATTATTTTATTTCATGTTTTTGGTCCGATAATAAACAAACAAACAAAAATCACAAACTATTATATTGATTAAGTTCTATACTAACGAAAAACGACAAAAACAAACGGAATCATCAATTTAAAAAGTTGCGTGGTCAAGTAGTCTCCAGTTTGTGCATGTAAAACGAAACTATTTTTGTAAGAATAACACTAAACATCAATCAGTCTGCATTTCGTGACAGTGAAGGCTGGACACGCCCCTTTCCTAGCGGGGATGACTAACCACTTTCTGTCGGTCAGAGTTCCTATCTAATCCCCCACTGTCTGTGAGGATTTGTTCCACTGTCTCTCGTTGGATTCAGTTTTCGAATTCATAAAGACCATTGCCGAACGACGTCACTATTCGATGTTAACTTCACCGTGACAAGATGAGACTACAGTAGATCACCCTGTCACAGTATGGAAACTACTTTTTCTAGCTATGTTAAGCCACATAAACCAGTCAATCACAACGATCTCGTTGTTGCTGTTTTATTTAGAACTTTCGTGCAAAGCAGCATAAAGGGGCAAACTGCGCGTTGAACAGAAGGAAGGCAGCTAGTTAACAGCACCTACCGCTAACTCCTGGGCTACTCTTATCCGAACGAATAGTGGGATTTAACCGTCACTCGTACTGCGTACCCATGGCCCCCAAAAGTGCAAAGCGCGTTTTTGAGATTCACAGTCTGAGCACGATAGCTCCTTGGCCACACCCGGACCATCACAATTAGAAGATCTAGTATATTAGTGTACGTTACGTGCAACAATAACTTAATCTTATCTTTAAGTAGAAGTATGAAGATAAAGAGCATGTAATCTCAAATTTATTCTTATCTTTAAGTAGAAGTAAGCAGATAAAGAGCATGTAATCTCAAATATATTCTTACCTTTAAGTAGAAGTATGAAGATAAAGAGCATGTAATCTCAAATTTATTCTTATCTAAGTAGAAGTAAGCAGATAAAGAGCATGTAATCTCAAATTTATTCTTACCTTTAAGTAGAAGTAAGCAGATAAAGAGCATGCAATCTCAAATTTATTCTTACCTTTAAGTAGAAGTAAGCAGATAAAGAGCATGTAATCTCAAAACAGTGGAATGTAATACTACAGGAAACCAAACAAACTAGGTACTATATTCTACATATCTAACTTAATTTACTTTTGCTGTGCATGTACTTGTACGTCCGACAGCATGTGCCCACCCACATCTATATTTATGAGCTTACATAACTATTTTAAAGTTCTTCTGAGCAAAACATCAGTTCGGATTAATAAAACAAAAACAAGATAAAACTCTTGCATTAATGTTTACTCAACAAGACAAAACAAATCTTGCATTCATATTTAGTCTCACACCGATATTCGTAAGGGCTTATTCTGAAACTTGACAGTTTTTAGTACCAGTAGGACATGCATTTTTTTAATAATATATCACGCTCGTCGTTATTTTAGAACGTGCAACTACGTCTGTAAATTTTGTTTGTTTGTTTGGAATTAAGCACAAAGCTACACAATGGGCTATCTGTGCTCTGCCCACCACGAGTATCGAAACAACCCGGTTTCTAGCGTTGCAAGTCCGCAGACATGTCGCTGTGTCACTAGGGGACACGTCTGTAAATAATAATTATAAGAAAAAAAGTTAGATAAAAATTTTGCTCTTAAAAATATTCCTTTATTTTCTAGACAACCAACAACACAGATACCACAAATAATAGACTAGATATGACACTGGGCTCCGAAAATGTGTCACGAGGAGGACACCATCTTGGAGCGGTCAATGATGCTTCTCATCTCTCACCATATATCTTAATTGGTACTGTGCCTGTCTACAAAAATAATGTTAGATCGCCTTTATGACATTTAAAGTCTTTGATTGACCATATATGATCTTCTGTTCTTTTTTAACACATCTGGTTTCTGTCATATTTTTAATTTATTGTGAACTTTATTATTATTATTCTGTAAGTATATTATTAAAAAAATGCAAGACTTCGGTTACAACATTTAATAATGAAATAGAGTTTACACAAATCATTTTAAAATTATGAATACAAGAAAACATAGAATTAATGTCTATTTACTTAATAAGTATTACATTTTATATTTCTACTTAATGCTGGATTTCTTATTATTCTTAATGTGGTGTGTTTTTTTTTCTATCTTGTATTCGTTTGTCTCTTCGTACTCAGTTATAAAGTTTATATATTCTGTCTCTATTTTTGGAATTGTATTGTATTTATCTTTATTTCTTGGTTATTACTTTTTGCATTGCTACATTAAAAAGTATTTCAAACTGTTGAACTAATTTGACCTACTATTTCTTTTAGATTATTTTTACCATAAACTTGAACCCTTCCATTACCTCTTAATTAATTTCATTTTGTTCTAATGTTATTCCCTGTAGTGAGTGAATTCATAGTTGGATATATTGATTTTTACTTTGTGTTACTTATTTCAATATATATAGTAACGTATTGTGTCACTACTGTATATAACTTATTTCGCTGTATATAAATATAGTAACGTATTATATCACTATTGTATATAACTTATTTCGCTGTATATAAATATAGTAACGTATTATATCACTATTGTATAACTTATTTCGCTGTATATAAATATAGTAACGTATTATAAGATATTGTATTTTTGTCATATGATTTTTATGTAGCCTATAATATTTACTGAATCCCGAACAACAACATCTACAGAATTATGGTATATTTATAAAGGATTCTGTTTATGATTTCACTCAGGAGAGGAATACAATATGTAACATGTACAACAAT